TAAGGATAAGTACTGATCTACTACAAAAGGCCCCATAGATTTCTGAGGTCTCCTCACTGGTTCATGGGGTCTGGATCAGTCCCATGCTGGTTTCCCAGCTATCAGTCTGGGAAACAAGAGTTCCCCGTTGGTCAGGTCAGCTGTTTCTGTGGGTCTTTATTTATAGTTAAATGCAGTTTTTTCTTACAATAGTTACATCAACAACGTTATTTTTGGCTCCTATTTTGACTTTTAGAAATACATCATAATCATTATGAAAGCCCGCATTGTTCCCATTATGCTTCCTCAAATATACTTTCTAACCCCCTGAAAAATTGTATTCTAGACATAGACTTTAGCATTTTTTCAGGCTTAACTAAATATTGAGCCAAGACACATCCTGCTCTTGCAGCACTTATATCAGCTGGCAACTACTTTCGGTTACAAAGTTTAAAAGTAGCTCACCCCTCCCCATGCCCTCCACTTGAGGTGAGTGTGGGGCCCATTCAGGTGCAACTCCCCCCTCCCCATCTTGGAACTTCCTGGGTCAGTTCCACGTATAGTGGACCAGCTCCCATAGGGAGGACCATCCAGACAATGCCCACATCGCAGTCTGCCCCCCACCAATGCCCTCTGCTTGAGGTGAGTGTGGGGCCTGCTCTGGCCCAACTTCCCCCATCGTCTCATTGGAACTTCCTGGGTCACTCCTCATGTAGTGGACCTGCCCTGACACACTGAACCATCTGGACAATCCAGAGCCTTCCCTCAGTGCCTGCCTTCATCACAGTCTTGCCCCCACCCTCTCTGTTTGAGTCTTGGCTCCCCTATGCCCTCTGCTTGAGTTGACCCACCCCCCTGGCATGAAGAACCATCCAGTTTGCCCTCATCAAAGTCTTGACCCCCCTATACCCTCTTCTTGAGAACTCCAAGAGAGCTTGGACCATCCAGAGTTGCTGACATTGAAGTCTTGACCCACCTACACCCATTGGGAGAAAAGAGAAAAAGCAAGACCCCCACCTGTACCCACTGGAAGAAGGGATGGGAAGACCAAAGTATAAGAACACATTCAACAGTAGAAAGACCAATATTACACTACCAGAATCTAGGGACTCTACACCAGCAAGACCTTAACATAACAATGCAGATGAAGCAGAAGGAAGACCTTAAAAACAGCTTTATGAAAATGATAGAGACCATTAAAGAGGACATGAGAAAATCCCTTGAAAAACTGGATGAAAAAACGAACAAAAATACAGGCAGTGGAGAAAAAGACAACCAAAAGATTCAAGAAATAAACAAATCTCTTAAAGAAAGCAAGGAAATCCAAGAAAAAACAACCAAACAAGTGAAGGAAACAATTCAAACAGTTTACAAGTCTTGAAAGCTGAAATAGGAACAATAAAGAAAACACAGAATGAGGGAATGCTAGAAATAGAAAAGCTGGGTAAACAATCAGGAATTACAGGTGAAGTATAACCAATAGAATATAAGAGATGGAAGAGAGAATCTCAGGTGTTGAAGAATCACTAGAAGAAATAGAGTCATTGACCAAAGAGAATGTTAAGTCCAACAAATCCCTAACACAAAATATCCAGGAAATATGGGACACCATGAAAAGGCCAAACCTAAGAATAGAAGAAGGTGAAGAAATATGACTCCAGGGTACAGAAAACATTAAACAAAATATGGAAGAAAACTTTCCCAACCTAAAGAAGGACATGCCTATGAAAGTTCAAGAAGCTTACAGAACACCAAATAGACTGGAACACACACACACACACACACACACACACACACACACACACACACACACACACCAAAAAAAAAAAATCCCCTCACCACATAAGAATCAAAACACCAAATTTACAGAATAAAGAAAAAATATTAAGAGCAGCAAAGGAAAAAGACCAAGTAACATATAAATGCAGACCTATCAAGGCATCCACATTCATAAAAGAAACATTACTAAAGCTCAAATCACACATAAAACCTCACATACTTCAACACCCCACTCTCAAAACTAGTCAGGACCACCAGACAGAAACTTAACAAAGAAACAAAGGAACTAACAGAAGTTTTTACCCAATCGGGTTTAACAGACATCTATAGAACATTCCATCCAACCATTGCATCATTCCTGGGTCAAGGAAGAAATAAAAAAAAAAAAATTAAAGTCATACTAGAATTCAATGAGAATGAAGACACAACATACCCAAACTTATGGGACACCTTGAAAGCAGTGCTAAGAGGAAAGTTCATAGCACTAAGTGCCCACATGAAGAAACTGGAGAATAGTCAAACTAGAGAATTAACAGCCCAACTGAAAGTGCTAGAACAAAGAGAAGCAAACTCACCACGGAGGAGTAGATGCCAGGAAATAATCAAATTGAGAGCTGACATCAATAAAGTAGAAACAAAGGAAACAACACAAAAACTCAATGAAACAAAGAGTTGGTTCTTTGAGAAAATAAACAAGATAGACAAACCTTAATCCAAACTAACCAAAAGACACAAACAGAGAGAATGCAGATTAACAAAATCAGAAATGAAAAGGAGGACATAAAAGTGGGCTCTGAGGAAATCCAGAGAATCATCAGGTCATACTTGAAAACCTGTACTCCACAAAATTTGAAAATTTAAAGGAAATGGACAATTTTCTGGATAGATACCACTTACCTAAATTAAATCAAGAACAGATAAGCAATTTAAATAGACGAATAACCCCTAATGAAAGAGAATCAGTCATCACAATTCTCCCAGTGGAAAAAAAAGAGGCCAGGTCATGAAGGTTTCACTGCAGAATTCTACCAGAAATTCAAAGATGAGCTAATACCAATACTCCTCAAAGTGTTCCACAAAATAGAAGCAGAAGGATCATTACCAAACTCTTTTTACAAGGCTCAAATTACCTTGGTACCCAAGCCACACAAAGACACAATGAAGAAAGAAAACTACAGGCCAATCTCCCTAATGAACATTGACTCTAAAATACTTGCAAATTGAATCCAAGAACACATCAGAAATATCATCCACCATGATCAAGAAGGCTTTATCTCAGGGATGCAGGGATGGTTCAATATATGAAAATCCATCAGTGCAATCCACCATATAAACAAACTGCAAAAGAAAAACCACATGCTCATCTCACTAGATGCTAAAAAAGCCTTTGACAAAATCCAACACCCCTTCATGATAAAGGTCCTGGAGAGATCAGGGATAACAGGAACATACCTAAATATAATAAAAGCAATATACAGCAAACCAACAGCCAACATCAACAACTAAATGGAGAGAAACTCTACGTGATTCCTCTAAAATCAGGAACAAGACAAGTCTGTCGACTCTCCCATACCTCTTCAATATTGTCCTTGAAGTTCTAGCTAGAGCACTAAGACAACAAAAAGAGATCAAGGGGATACAAATTGGAAATGAAGAAGTCAAACTTTCACTATTTGCAGGTGATATGATAGTTTACATAAGTGACCCCAAAGATTCTGCCAGGGAACTCCTACAGCTGATAAACACCTTCAGCAAAGTGGCAGGATACAAGATTAACTCAAAAAAAAAAAAATCAGTAGCCCTACTATATTCAGATGATAAATCTAATGAGAAAAAAATCAGAGAAACATCACCCTTTACAATAGCCATAAACAACATAAAATACCTTGGGGTAAGGCTAATCAAACAAGTGAAAGACCTGTATAGCAAGAACTTTGAGTCTTTAAAGAAAGAAATTAAAGAAGATACCAGAAAATGGAAAAATCTCCCATGCTCTTGGATAGGTAGAATCAACATAGTAAAAATGGCAACTTTGCCAAAAGCAATCTACAGATTCAATGCAATCCCCATCAAATGCCCATCACAGTTCTTCACAGACCTTGAAAGAACAATATTCAACTTTGTATGGAAAAATAAAAGCCCCAGGATAGCCAAAACAACCCTGTACAATAAAGGATATTCTGGAGGCATCACTATCCCTGACTTCAGGCTCTATTATAGAGCTGTAGTCCTGAAAACTGCTTGGTACTGGCACAAAAATAGACAGATAGACCAATGGAATAGAATTGAAGATCCAGATATTAACCCACACACCTACAAACACCTGATTTTTGACAAAGAAGCTAAAATTATACAATGGGAAAAAATCATCTTCAACAAATAGGGCTGGCATAACTGGATGCTGACATGTAGAAGATAGATCCATATCTATCACTATGCACAAAACTTAAGTCCAAATGGATCAAAGACCTCAACATAAATCCAGCCACACTGAACCTCTTAGAAGAGAAAATGGAAGGTACCCTTGAACGAATTGGTATAGGAGATCACTTCATGAACTAACTCCAGTAGCACAGACACGAGCGCAGAAATCACACACACACACACACACACACACACACACACACACACACACACACACACACACAGTTATAATCTTCCATCCTGTGAAAACCTGTTATTCCTCCCCATCCTTTCTTTCTAACCATCCTCTGAAAACAGTCATCCCCTAAAAATAAAAATAAGAGCAAAGGTAAAATATGTGGAAAGCAGAGTTACACTGTTATATCTTGCTTTGGGGGGATTGTGATGGACAGAGAGTTCAGTGTTCTGTAGAATCTATCCCTCTGCCATGGTGAAGTGGATATTAGCATGGAGGTTGTGTTCATCCTGTGTGCTGTCATACCTTCCTGGGACTCACCTGAGAGCATGGAAGACACTCAGAGTCATCATCTAAGGAAGCAGGAGACTGTTTTGATAACTTTCGGTAAAGTGAAGGTTTGCCTCATTATTGGGGTTCCCATTTAGGAAATTTCTTCATTGGCATCTGAGTCATTTGACGGATGGTGAGAGAGCTACTTCCTCTGGAATTGGTTCCCTCAACCATCTTCTGCTGCCTATATTTAGAGCATTTCATATAAAATGAATTTCGGGGGCATCCAGGAAGACAGCCTGCTGTGTTCTTTGCAACTAGACAGGGCTTGCATTTCCCATCTCAATTAAGGCTTATTTTCTCCTGACAGACACCAGATACTGCTACACTCAGCACATCATGGAAGTCACAGGACACAGCATCTCTGTCACCAAACGCTGTGTCCCACTGGAGGAGTGCTTATCCACGGGCTGTCGGGACTTGGAGCATGAAGGCCACAAGGTCTGGGAAAGCATTAATTCCCACTCCCTTTACTGGATTCTCCAGGGCTCATTAGCAGATCTCCCCCTATCCATTCCCCAAGTAGGCAGCCTCACTGTCTTTATGTGGCTGTGAAAATGTGCTTGTTTTCCCCATTTGCTTTAGAATACCAGTGTGTAGCAGGGCAAAGGACAAGCAAATGGAGTGTATAAGCACATGTAAAGAGGATGCTGAAGATTTTCATAGGCCTTTTCTTCATTTAGAAGAGTCCTAAAAGGAGAGAGTCAGGGACTACTTACACCCGTGTTGATAGAGTCTGATAGATATGCCAAGTCTTTCATCTGAGGCAGGAGGAGGCAACATATTTTGATAACTTTCTGTAGAGTGAGTGTGTATGTCATTCTGGAGGTCCCAGCTTAGGAAACTTTTCCATTGGCACCTGAGTCATTCCTTAGGTGATAAGAAAGACACTCTTGTGGATTTGTTCTCTTGAACTTTAGCCAGTGCCGGTATAGAGTGTTCTGTCTAAAATGAACTTTGGGGTGTCTAGGAAGGAGAATATAAAGAAGCCAGCATTGCTTATCGCTGGAGTCCTGCTTTTCCTGCTATAAGTCATTGATGACTGTGTGGTCTTAACTTGTCACACTTTGTCCTTTACTTGATCTGCCCCTGTGTCAGACCACCTCCCTGGGGTTCAGGGAAACACTCTTTCTCATTACTCTGGAATAGCATTGTTACTAAGGGCTGCTTTCATTCACAAAAAAGCAGAAACAATTTTTAAGCTACTTCTCAAATTCACTAAGAATTTAAATTTAAAATGCCATTTGCCTATTTGTTACTAGTTTGAAGAAAGGTCAATCAAGGTTATTACCTGACCTCTCCAGCAAGCTGGACTTGTTTCTCAGACATTATTGTGATTTATTTTTTTCCCAAAAGGAGCATTGGGAGTCCAAAGATATGCCAATTGCTTGTGTTACACAGGTAGTAAGAGAAAGACAGAATGGAATTCAAACTCACTCCTAACCTCTAGTCTCTCTTCTCAGCATTTTGCTATTTTTGGAACTCATGTTGGTTGTGGCCAAAAGTTTACATCTTTCCTGACTATTAGCTATTGGATAATAACTTCCTTATTAATCTGATTCATCTGGGATCTTGTTAAAATTCAGATCCTAGTTCTCCAAGTGCTGGGTATGATGTGAGAATCTACATTTCTAACAAGCCCCCAAGTTGGGTGTTGAGGCTGCTGGTCAACATAGTGGATAGCCATGGCCCCAAATAATTTCTGCCAATGAACCCATGTGTTTGCTTCTTTCATATGATTTAAGAATAAAACAATATAAGGCAAGAGTAACTGAATAAATTAGAACCCTTCAAATGTCTCCCACTCAAGAGAATGAAGTTAACTCTACCCATGGTACTAATGAGGGCTCATCTGACCCAAGCCATTGCCACTTTGTCCTCATTGTGAAAATCTCACAGAGGAAGTTTTACCCTCTTAGCAGTTACTTCCTATTGTCAGGATGCGCTTCTTTGAGGAAGGAAGCAGTTTTCACAACTCCCATTTTAGAGGCAAAATAACTGTTGTCTTAGAGGACTTGAAGCCTAGCAGCTAGCAAAGGTGAGATGCCAAAAACAGAACTAAAGTCCCCTGAAATTTAGGCTGGAATTTTTCATTTGAAGCATGCTGCTTCTAGATGGAATATTATTCTTGCTATTCATGGATGTCAGGCAGTGTTCCTTCTGTAAAGCAGACCATTCTCATTTGCCAGGAGGTCGAAACAGGCTGGCTTCTCCTCACCCTTTGTTTTCTTTCTTTCAGATCTGCACCTCCTGCTGCGAAGGAAATATCTGTAATCTACCACTCCCTCGGAATGAAACTGATGCCACCTTTGCCACAACATCTCCTATAAATCAGACAAATTGGCACCCACACTGTATGTCAGTGATTGTGTCCTGCCTGTGGGTGTGGCTAGGACTCACCTTATAGCAGCCCTCTCCACCAAATGTAGTGGAGCTCTGCGGGGTTCCCTGTGGCCATCATAGTCATGCATGAGTCATTGGCCTGTCAGTAGTGACATAAGGCAACCTCAGCACCCTGGACATCATCACAGCCAGGCATTGCCATTACCATGAAGAACAAGCATTGCTTCAATGCTCTCATTTCCAGCCAAACCAAGAGTCCATGTAAGTCAGCCTGTCCTCAATACAGACCCTGTTTTCTATACCACAAGCCTGTGATTTTGCTCCAAGAAAGAGTTCTACATTTATTGATGTCTCGGGTTCTTGATTCAGAATCCAAGCATGAGCTGCAGGAGGTCCTGGACCCTCTGAGATGTGAAAAATAAGCTATGGCTGTTCATTTTTCACGAAAAGAGTAAAGAACTTAATTCAGATCACAGCTTCACCTGTGGCTTTAGAATTTTAAAACTTTAAATCCAAAATAAATGGAATAATTTCTTTGAGATTCCAATGGAGTCCCTGAAAGAGTAGCAAGTGCTTTGCTCAATTTAATTTCCCTGGCCTTCTTATCTTAACACAGGAAAGCATGTTCCTTCTGCTCTTTGTAGAAGACAAAAAAAGATAATTATAAAATTTTGTTGTATTTGTAGAAGTGATTAAAGACTTCATAATGAAATTAGTATCCACAAGAGGAAGTTTATCCCTTCTTATACCTGGAGAGCTTGGCCTTGACATGTGAATTAATTATGCTTTTTGAGTTCCTGAATTCCAGCTGGGTCAGTAGCATCTAAAAATTCATAAAGTGTGAGGTGGGATTATTTTCTCCAGGTGTTGCATTCCTTTCTGATGTAGCTAATCTCATCAGAGAGAGGACTTCAGAATAAAAGGGAACTTTGTGGAGGTTAGTCCTAGTTCATTTTGAAGGCCCAGAAATGGCTAAGAAAAATTCTCTCACTGTCCAAAGAGTCCTCTTCTTCCAAAACCAAATGATTTTAGGGAGACCATTCTAAATTAAATTATTGGTAGATCAATAAGGTAAGAACACATATGTTCTAGGATGAGAAAAAGATGAACTGTAAGTAGTATGATGGCCTAAGGTATAGTATTTGTTGCTCTCAGATACTGCATTTGATGTAGAAAAGATTTTCATCATCAGTCATGTATTTTCTTAACCTAAAAATCACAATGTTTTCTTCTTCTTTGTAAAATCTTTAAATTATACTTATTTTTGTATGGCATAAACTTAAACTAAAATATATTTCAAAAAATTCTTTTTTTCTGAACAAAATATGAAATTAGAATGCTTGTTTTCAACAGTTGTGGAGCTTATCACTCACTCATGGAGAGTTATCAATGATCCTTGCACTGATGCTGAAAAAGTAAATTGGCTATGAGCCTGAACTGTGTGTTTGCCTCAAGGGTTTTGCTCATGGTTTCCTCAGAAGCATTGTTCTAGAAATACTTGTGTGGAGACTATCAATGGCCCAAATATCTGTGTGGGGCTGTGGTGTATGTATGTATGTTAGCGTGGGGACTTGGTGGAGCAATGCCCTGATGAAGAGGACAATATTTCTAAGATGTATCTACCCTGCACAGAGACTCATAAAATGAGACCCGCTCAGGGACCAAATATGAACTGACAGTAGACACTCTGATACAAGTCATTGAAGTTGTGTTACACAGCCTTAATTCAGAGTCTGGCAGGCTTATCCATTTCTTGTTTATAATTGGGGAAGGGGAAGTCCAGAGAGAAAGGCATGTAATAAGCACGTGCCAGGCACTTTGCTAAGCACTTTACATAGTTAGAACATATAATCCCATAGCAGTTCTATAAGGAACAGTACATATTTATGCTTTACAAATGAAGGCTCTGAGGCTCAAAGATGTTGGATAAACGAAGCCTTTTCCTTCAGATTTTGCTTCTTGTGGGATGTGACAGGATTGCAAAGAATGAGAAGTGGAATTTCTCTGCTAGGAAAACTCACAGGCCCGACTTCACAGGAATTTGCCCATCTTATTGTGTAGAATACATCCTGCTTCTCAGGATGACATTTGCATGTGTCCCCAGTTGATACTTTTTCTTTGGGGAGTAAGGTTTTAGCTTCCTTATTTATCCCTCTTGTGAAAAGAGGAGACAGTTGACCTTGCATCTAAAGATGCTTTAAGACAATGGGAATTTGATGTTGTACATATCTACACATACCATTTTTGTGCATGGTCACACTCCACTGACATTTTCCAAGTGCTGCATGCAATCTGAACAAGAGACAAGGAACTGACCACATTAGAGCCTCCCTGGCTGGTTTACAGGGATAAGGTTCTGAAGGGTACAGATTGCCTGCCACCTGGGGAGTAATTGCAGCCACTGTACACATGTGATGCATGCATCCCTAATGCTTTTCAAGGTGGCTTTTGTTTAATTCTCTTGAAAGAATGTGATCTGCTCACCACCCCTAGCCTCAAAAGCCAAGGAAGAGCCATTTATGTCTAAGGTCCAGGACCAATTAGCCATCTGACTATTCTGTCACTTTAAACTTTCCATTAAACCTCACCATTGGTGATGGCTTGACATGCAAAGAGCCATGATGTGTATATTAACCTATGTGCCACATATTTATTTTTAGAGTCCTTTCAACATCCATGTCAATATGGGATTAATGCCTAAATGTAAATATTGTACACTTTGTAAATCAATGAGTAAAAATTTTAAGTGTGTTTCATTGTGCTTCTTCCTGCTTGTGTGGATGTCAATCCGTGATTAATACACCAGGTCATATACAAGCCATGGGCTTAACACCACAGTGGGCTTCTTTCATGGACTCATTTTCACAGTCAAGAAATACATACATGAAAGGTACTTTCTTATGCCAAATGATTCATATAGGGGTAAGTGCTTGGAAAATCAAAAGAAAGATCATCAAACTTTTCAATTGGTCTATTGGTCCCTGGAACATTTCTTTGTTGGATCAAAAAACATGGTGGTGTGTGTGTGTGTGTGTGTGTGTGTGTGTGTGTGTGTGTGTGTGTGTGTGTGTGTGTGCATGTGCAAGCTCACACATGGCATGTGCATGGAGGTGAGAGGGCAACTTTGGGGAGTTGGTTCTTTCCTTCCATTAGAAGTCAGAGGACGTATTTTAGGAGTTCTTTCCTTCCACCACTGGTTCAAACTCAGTTGGTAGGCTTGTGAAGTGCTAACTTTTACCCACTGAGCCATCTTGTCAGCTCCCCAAATGTGCTTCAACTCAAGATTTCATTCTCCTTTATTACTCTTCTTAGCGAAATATTAAGACAATCTCTTCTTCTGTCACAAACTCCAATCTTACTTTCTACAAGTTTCAGTTGCTATAATTAGCTGAGTATAATTTTTGTAGTGATATTTCAAACAAATTTAAACTTCATAGTCTGAGACACGCCTTCTCTAGAGTCCTCCTTTTTGTTCTAATATCAAAAATGACTTTTGTGTATGATTTTATCTTCGAAGCACTTTAAAATGCTCTGTGCCTTGCTTCCATTGATCAACATGAACACATTTACTACTTGATAGCTACAGCTTTGCTGTGTCCAAGGAAGGTCACACTAGCAGTTTGTTTTAAGAGACTCTGATTCCTCATTGTTCCACATGTCACCAGGATGACATGCATGATGTCTCCCCCTTCCTCTGGCAGTTTTACTAGAAAGTTATTGTTCAGGTTGCTGAGTTGAAGATGAAAGGAACATTAGGGAACATCTGGTCTACCCCCTTTGCTTTTTAATGTGTGAGAAAAGAACCCCAGAGAACCCAGATCATTTCTCACCGTAGACACTGCACAACTGTAAGAATCGAATTCTGCCAAGTGTTCCTTCTGTGATGCTTGGAGTGATTAAGCACGGGCAACAGGAAACAGTTTAGTGATGTCCTTTTTCTTTACTCTGGCTATAGGGTGGGAGGTACCATGGGCATCATCAATGTACGGAATAGAAGCTAAAAAGAGAAAACTTCCTATAAGAAATCAAGGAAGCCTGATGAAAGAGTGTTTATCCTAATTTGAGAAGAGAAACACTCAGAGAAATAATCACTTTCAGACTCATGAACTAAAGCGTTACTTGGGAAAATTATACAATATCAGTTGGATATATTTTCTCAGGGGGTTACTGTATATCTGGAATTATGAACTAGCCTTGCTAGACTGTGTGTCCTAGAGTTCAAGTCTCCACTGACATCCCCACTTGAATAGATGCCAGAGATTATGTTGTCAAATTAGGGAGAGCTCATCCATAAAGAAAGTCTATTGAGTGTGAACACAGGGAAAAAACACCCCCAGAAACAGTCATGAGGCAAATGGAAAAGCTAAAAATAAATCATAACCTCAATAAATCCATTCATCTCTGAGGAGAATTCAGAATCAATGTTATGTCTAGGTCCTACTCAGATGCCTGACTGTTGGGACAGAGTCCCAACAGAGTCCAAGCACATCTGTCTTCTCGGCCGTGTTTCCCAGGTAACAACCTCTCAGCTGACTAGACTTGGCACCCACCCAAACTCTCCCAGCTGTAGGACAGGACAGAACAATTTGAAGCCTACATCACATGATGTGAGCAGATGAGTTGCTTGAAGAGAGAGCTCACACTAGGGTGCTTTGTGCTGTGCTTCTTTGGTGAGAGGCACTGAGTGAACTGTTGTGGAGGTGAGCACATTTTAGGTTTCTTCCTGTCTCAGCCAGGCTTGATTCAGCTTGGCTCTCTAATGTGTATCAGCATAGGGTTTAGCCCTAGTGTTAAAGCTTTTTAAATACTTGAAGAGTTGGATCCATCCCTGGCTTTTACATATTAGACTAATGGTCCTGTGAGCGTTTTGCCACTGACCTAAATACCAGGTGCCCTTGTAGAAACACACCTCCTTGATGTGGGACTGGCCAAGACCACCCTGAAATTTGAAATCAGACCTTTCACAAACTCTTTTTTAAAATCAGGTGATTAAACACACAACAACTAAAAACCCATAAGCCTTATTTGGAATGAATTATTTAGTAGACCAGTGGGATGTGTTCAGCCTAGGCTATAGTTGGAGTTGCAAACTGTAGCCAGAATTGAGACACCAGCTTCATTTTGGAGGTTTGAGAAGACACTGCTGGCAAAATGATAACAAATCCAAAAGAAAGAGCTCAGCTGCGTATAAGAGCTAACTTGCAGAATAGGTGTTGAAACATCATAGATGCTGTACTTTAGCACAGCTATGAGGTCAATCTTGAGGCAAGATGATAATTAACTGTAGATAAATATAATTTGAAAATTAAACTATCCAATTTCTATGTTTTGGACTATCCTTCACCGAGGCTGTTCTATGGTTATGATCAATCATCCCAGGTGGTTATTTGTCCCATCATGCCTACTGGCTAACAGCTACCCATTAGCATCCGTTAGGGCCCATCACTGATGTTTAAAGCTCCCTAGAGCAAGTCACCTAGCTGACTCAGAGGCACCACAGCGTACCTTGTAGCATCATTTGTAACAAAAAAGTGGGATGCTGAGGGCACTCACCTCAGCAACATTGGTGTACTGAGGCAGATGATAGGAATCTGTTTTTATCAATCTCCAGGTCTCCTGTTCAGTGGCCATATTGTAGGGTGAAAAAGGCCAATGAAAGGAAACTCTGAGAACAGAGCCAAAGAAACATAACATACCCCTAACCAATTCAGGAATTGAAATCCAACCAACCCCAAAGCACAAAACCAACCAATTCCTGAGAATGACATCCAACCAATCTCTGAGCTTCTCCCAAGCTCAGGAATTGAAATCCCACCAATCCCCACCATGAAAATCTCCAAGTTGGAAAATATGGCTCCTAAGATTCCCTATATAAGTCCTGTTCTGGTAGGAGCTGCCATTTTACCCTGGCAGAGGCAGCCATGCTCCTGGGTTCTTCCTTCCCAACAAATCTATTAAGTGAAGTTTGTTATAATCACTTCCTTTCACCATAGCAGAGCACAGCAGAGATGGACATTGGTGGTCTGTTGTTTGGTCTCCATTTATCACATCTCATGTTCTAGAATGAAGATGTGGGATTAAAGAATCATTTCTTTCTTCCACTCCACCCTCTTGAAGAAAGTACCACCAGACACTCTTGCTTTGCTATGTCTGAGAATTTATTCTTAAATGTGTGAGAGTTATATGTGCCCTTGCCCTTCCTTTGTGAACTTTCCATTAACCTGACTTTGGTCTTGTATCCTATGGGCACTCCTAGCTCCATCTGAAGGCTTTCCCTCCCTGCAGAGACCCTTGTAAGCTGTGCTCCAGAGTCAGCAGTTGGCAGCACCTTTCTGAAGTTACTGAGTGAGGATGCTCTCCCAACTGTGTCTAAGTTGGACTGCAACTGTTGTCCACTCTCAGCTTGTCCTGTTCTTTCAACTTCCCCATTTGCTTATGTAAGTACCATGAATAAAGTGCCCTGGCTATCAAGATGAAGAAGCTTAATGAGAACACACATAGAGTCATGCTCAAAAGCAGCTTTTCATAGCAGAGTAGATTGCAAAACCAGAATCACCTGTGATTCAGTTTACAGTGGCACCCAAGCCCAAGATCTAGACTGAGGTGGTCTAGGGTGACTTAAATCATCAGGAAGTTTTAAGCTCTCTTACTCCTGACAATTCTGGTGTGCCATCATTAGCCAACAAACACAGCCATTGGAGTAAAGAATCATGATTGCAGAAACAGTCTTAGTGAAGACAGGTCTAGAAAAATTAGCCATGGACTGCTCCTATCGTGCCCGACTTCTAGTTACTTACATATGCACCAAAACGGTGCTTGGAACACAGTAGGTGCATGGGAAGCATGTATCAGTCAATCCACAAACAATGAAAAGAGGGTGCTTGCTCTGAGTATCATAGCCGGTCAGTAACAGAAAAAGAGTTAAAGCCAAGATTGCCCTTCTATTAGTTCCAGTCGAATTAGACACATTTCCACATGTTAAATGTGTACTCTCCCCAAGAATTTTAGTGCCAAATGCTGTGAAGCTAGCCCCTCTTACAGGGTATAGCATAAATTGTTAAAGCTTTTATGTGAAGCAATTTAGGTGAATGAATAAGGGCTTTGTAAATGGATATATCCCAACCCAATAAGCCTACTTCTCTGAGCTGACTGAAATATAGAAATACTGCTCTCATCAAATATGTTCCTTGCTGTACCTTTTGTAACTCAAGTAAACAATCAGGACAGGCTAAATGGGCAGGAGCTGGGGTGGTTAAATCAATCACTGTACATCCATTTGGTGTAGCATTGTAAAATGTGGTTGCCCTGGAGAAGTTTTCAACATCAAATGAGCACCTCAATGCTATCATGCTCTGTTCAATGTGGCATACTTTTCAAGAAGCAAAGACACAGAAAAAACAAAAAACAAACAAACAAAAAAAAACACTTAAGGAAAATGAACCAAAGTACTCTCAAATACTTGTTATGATAATAACTTCTTGTTTTCCTTTATAAAGAGTATTTTATGTAATGTGGTTACTTTCATAATAAAAAGCACAGATAAAATAAACAGTGAAGCCTAATTATGGTAGGTTAATGGTTGTGATAACTTGGAACTAAACTTCCTCTGACTCCTGCTTGAACCGTGTGCTCAGACCTGGCAGCTCTCCTTAGGCCCTTGGGAGCCTAAAAAACTACCAATGCTGGATCCACCCCCAGATGGTCACATTATACTGATCTTGAATGCAAAGATCTGAAGAGCAAAACTTCAGAATGCACTGTAATAGGCTTTCTTTTGGGCCACCA